AGCTTTTAATCAATATAGTCGAAATTGATAACAAAACTAATTTAAATATTTTACGGCGATTAAGCTTTACGAAATACAAATAAAAACCCCATTTAAGTTAAGCATTGTAGAAGCGTTTTATTCTTGATTACTCTTGATTTGTTTATTATTATAAGTTGATCTTAACGAAAGCAAGACGTCAAGAGGACGTCTTCTCAACGTTTTTTAATGTTCAGTTGGTTTTATGACCAAAATGCGACTGTCAAATTTCTGACCTTACTTTGACGTTCTTTTGACGTCCGATTGGAGTATTATTTCTAAAAGTTTTGACTTAACTATAAAAGTTTTGAAATATTTTTTGGAAGCAAAGCTTAAAAAATAACAGTTTTGTCTTTGAAAAATATATATTTATTTAATAAATATATAATTTAATTAAAGCAAGCTTTTTGGCTGAACTTTAAAAAAAAACCCTAATGGAACTAGTGGTTTCTTGACAACTCGTACGGTACTTGTTACTAAAGAGTTACGATTTTTTGACGAGGGGGATGAGAGGTCAAAAAAGGTAAAAACTGCAAGATGTAATTCATGGACAACCTCTTGTGCTCAAGTATAAAATAATAATTGAACATACAGATGTTCAACTTGTATATAGCTCAAAAAAAAGTATTCTTAGATATTTTCAATAGAAATGACACACAAATCTTCGAAAATTAGAGGAGATAAATTCTAATTCTACACATAAACAACAAACAAAATTTTTTAATGCATTTAGTTTATAATCATTTTCTTGAAAAATATTGATCATATTATATAACAAATTGCATGTTTTAGTAAGAAAAATGTATAACTATGTTTCATGATCGCAAGGATGTTAAGTTACATTGGTAGATTATTGACATGGGAATAAGTTTCTACAGTAATTTAAAAAAATAAATCACAATGACTTAAAGATTAAATGAAAAGGTCGAATTAAAAAAACAAACAGTGATACAAAATTTAACTTTTAATTGTATTTTTTTTATGTTTTAAAAAATAGGCTGTTTTTTTAATTTTGTTGTTGCTTTTGTTGTTTGTGTTTTTTTTTTTTTTTTTTTTTTTTTTTTATTTAAAATATTTTTTCTTAAATAACTAAAATTATTACATTAAAACTGGTCACAAAAATCTCTGCATATTTAAAAATTAAATGCAGAAAATTTTGGGGTAGCCATCTTAAAAGGTGTGTCATTCTATTTTGTGTGCTTTAATAATAGAAAATTGTCAGATAGAAAATTATTAAACAATTTACAATATAAATTGTAAATTATTTAAAAAATTATAATTGGCCTTATACAGAGGCAATTCTACGGGGGAGGGGAGGGGGTTAAGCGGTGTTCCATCCCCCAATGAAGGTAATTTTCAAGTTATAGTCGGTTTTTCACAAATTTAGTGGGCTAGTTGGGTATTTGACACATTTCAGTCGGGTAAATTTTCGTTTTGAGGTTGTTTTTTTTTCTTTAAAAAGCCAGTCGGTATTTTTTGAGGATTCACTCCCCTCCCCCTCATTTTATTCGTTGAATCGTCTCTGATCTTTTATGAAAACGTTTTTAAACGCTATAATTATGCATCATACAAATTGTATTGTACTTTATCCCTCTCCGGCTACAGGACATGCGGACGCCCCGTACCAAAGTAAGGTCAAAACAATAAAAGCGTCATAATTTGTTTCAACAGATCAAGTGAGTTTTTTGAGTGAGATCAATTTACGTTATGTATTAGACGAAACAAAGAAAAATAGTTGATTGAACGATTGTGCCAAAAATGTTATTAATAAAGCTATTTTTTGTTTATTTGAGGGTTTAGTTTTTGCATATAAATATTTTTAATAACATTTTTAAAGTTAAATCTAATGAGACTTGCATAACCCAGTGGGAAAAAAGATATCTTTAGACGAATAAAAGACGTCTTTTTTATGACTTGTTATGTCTTTTTATAAACAGCCTAAATAAAGACGTGGAAAAAAAAAACTTTTCTTTTGATGACCTTTGAAAAAAAATGAGAAAATTTTCATTTAAATGTTAAATTAAACAACAACCAGTAGAATTTTTTTTTCTATAGGGAGGGGGAGGGGAAAATTCACTAACATTTTCCACTGAGAAACAACTAAAGTTGTTAATAAGCAAATCATAGGTTACTTATTGTAATTATAATAAACAAATTATTATTTACTTATTAACAACTTTTATTTTTAATAAGGAAATCATTATTTGCTGTCATTGTCTGTCATTAACAAAGCAAGTAAAAAATTGCACATAATGACAACAGATTTATCTTTAGAACTGTTTGCAAAACTTTTGGTTTAGATACAAAAGACCAAGTGAAAATGATACTCGAAAGGTACACTTTCTTACATCTAAACATCATTGCAGTTTTCTAGTTTTCATTTTTGTTTATGAGTATTTCATCTGTGTTGCTAATGATATTGCCAGTTTTTATGATTTTATGTTGTTAAGTAAAGCATCATTATGTTTCAGGCTAAAATTGTATTTTGATTAATACTTTTATCCAGTTTATATGAATAACAATTCCAAAGGTGTATTAGCTGAATTATCTTTTTGTTTCGATAGTCTTTAGTCAATAACGGGTTTTTAAATTGTTATGAGTCTACAACACTTAATTTCAGCGAAATTCAATTAAAAAGTCATGCTAAAGAAGACAGAAAAATATCAATATCTGTTTTCAATAACTTGGCTTTCATAACAAATCTGAGAGGTGCAAATGTTTAGCTTGATTTAAGTACTACATAATAAAATACATGGTTATTCAGTCATTTTGATGGTTGTAAATTTCTTAAGCACTTTTTTGTATATTTTTAGACTGTTTACCGTTTGACTCCTGTCCCAATCTAACCTAGTGGGTTCAAAAAGAAAAGACCATGCTGGAAACATGAGAGGGTTAAAAGATCAGCCCTTTTTGAATTAATAGTCAGTAAGTCTAATGTGTTCTACTCAGTTAATCAAGTTTCATTTGCTTTTTTGTACTGCATTCAAGCAAGAGACTGTTTTTTATGTTCACTCGTTTTTAGAAGTCGTAACCAGCTCGTATGAAAGGATTTCTTGACGTGAAATAGTTAATTTTATTCAACAACTCCATGAAACAGAGCTCGTTCAAGAAACACAAAAGAAAGAGAAAGATGAAATAAAAGAAATATTACTGTGAACAATACTGTTGTTTTATTTATAAATTATTCTCCTATATTTAAACATATAAATGATGTAGAAAATGCTTCCTCTTTTATGTTGTCATTAAAAAGAGGTTTTTTTCTCGGCATCGGAAAGAGCTATTTTTCATACTTTGTAAGAAAAGCTATTATCATTTTCATTTGATAAAAACAGCTTTTCATATATGAAAAGTAGGAATGCTATAGTGTATAGAATACTATAGTATACTAATAAGTATGGGAAAAAAGTCGTTCCGACCCGAGCAAAAAAACCTTTTTAGAAATGCATAATTGATAAACAAAGACGTCTTAAAGACGCATTTTTTTTTATGTCTTTTTCACAGCAAGATTATGATAAAAAAAGACGTCTTTTCGATATCGAAAAAAGATGTCTTTTAGATTTGCATAATCGATTTAAAAAAGACATCTTAAAGACATCGTAAATAAGACTTTTAAAGACGTCTTTTCGACGTCTTTTTTCCCACTGGGAAGTTGTATTGTTTTTATAAACGAACTAAAAAAAAAACTATATTATTCAATACTTTTATCACCAGTAGTCAATTTCACAAACAGTGTTAATTAACAATTATAATTATGCATTTAATCAAATTGAAAGATATTCCATTATTAAAATAAATATGTCAAATGTTGACGGAATCTAAAAAAGTTTTAGTTTGGTAGGATTCCAATTTAATAGTATTTAAATAGCTTTGCATTTAAATACTATATTAATGTCATAAGTTATAATATGAAAATTGTGCATTTTTTTGCTATGAAACTTTTGAAAACTGGTATTGAAAAAAACAAAACAATTATAACAATATTTTGTGGCATTGATAACCTCTTTTTTTAAATTCAACTTAAATCAAAAGTTGTGAACTTTGTTTCTAAAAAAATTTCCTTTTCTTTGTTTGCTCGTGCTTCAATCTTTTTTTATCTCATAAAGTTGTGGAGGAAAACATGAACATGATAAGAATATAAAATGAATATTATTAACAAGTAAGTTGGATATTATCTTATTTTGAATATATGCTAAATCAAATGTGTTATTTTTGATGTGTAATGAGTAAATATTACCTGAAAGGAAAAATGAACAAGCTTTTTGAAAGACAAATATAAAAAAGTTAATTGTCGGTCGGTAACTCGAAATCGAAATCGAAAAAAAAAAAATATATATCCATTAACTTTTTTACCATGCATAGTACATTTTTTATTTAAAAAAAATTACTTAAATATGGTTACTTAAAATATTTAGAAAAATATTAAGTTGTTTGAAAAAATATTTATCTTTTGAATCCCCGTAGAAAATTTCGAACAAACTAGCGGCAAAAGCCTTGACGCACAATATTAAGCTTCTAACCTTTTTTTAAAATTCCAAAAAACTTGGAAAAATAAATAGGGATTGGAATAAAAGATAATATTTTTTATCAAAGCTTATATTTTATTATTTTTCTAGCGACTGGAGCAACGTCAAAGAAATATACAGAGAAAGATGTCAAAATAAGCATTGATGATACTTTGAATAAGGCTTCTTTTTAAAATTTTGGAACAAATATCATGTTACGTCATCATGTTACGTCTTCCCTGATTCAAGACTTAAATTAAGGCTTGAGCTTTAAGTAAAATTCTAGCAATTATAAAAACATAAAGTTTATTAAAAATGAATAAAATTCATTTTAATAAATTTATTTCCAGGCAAATTTACAAAAAACATTTAGTCAAAAAAAAAAAAAAAAAAAAAAAAAAAGTTTAAAAATAGGCATGAAAAAAAAGCAATTTAAAAAAAGTCATGGGGCAGGATTACAAAACATAGGGAGTAAGATCATCGAAAGAATTAGTTTTATTTGCGTAGATTGACAAATAATGTTTTCTACAAGATTTTTTTTACTGATATAGATCTAACTAATTGATAACAAATTATTCGTTTAGCATATTAGATAAATTATTTAAAAACTGTTAGCTTATTAAACTAAAAACTCATCAAAAAGTTTTCAAGTTCTCAATTTAAGTTTTCGTTTCCAATATTATAAAACCCTTGATATCGAGTTTCTGATGAAGTGTTTGTTGAGACAAATGAAAAGTCTTTCTTATTGTTACCAGCGCATTCTATAATTGTCTCTTTGGAAAATGCTTGGCGTTTGATAGTTTTTCTTATGTATGCCGCGGCTTTCCCAACATGGTTCATAAGAACTATTTTTGAAGCAAAAAATGAAAATAGAGCAGAAAGAAACGTTACATACAGTATATAAGGTATAGCATAAGTTGATCCCAAAGTCCCGAGTATGCAAATCAATGACCAAAATGGTAAATTGAGTGCTTTAGCTAAAGCATACAAATGTTGTTGTTTATTTTTATAGAAATGTTTTGTCGAAGCCCAATCATAAAAGTATTTCGATCCAGCAATCAAACCATATAAATAAATAAAAAAATTTGCTATACTTGAAATAAACACAATCATTGCAGAAAAACGAACAGCAGTAACAGAATCGTGGTTACGTTTTGTTGCAAAACGTAATACCATGTTTCCTGCAAGTGGACAAAGACAACAAAACACGAGGAATGTTTTCTGAAAGTACAACATAATAGTGTCGACAGTTTTAACTAAATGTAGGACGGAATGGTTTATGTACCATAAAGCAGAAACCAAACTAAATGAGGCAAGAAATGTGAGAAATTCAGGAGTCATGTGATTTAAGTTGTAATTGAGACCTAGTTTACCAACAGCGTTTTTTTGAGGAAAGTCATCAACAGTAATATCAACAATAAGGATGCATGCAATAATTGCAACCCCATTGTCGCTCATTGTTTCAAGACGTTCTTTCGAAATGCTACCTTTTGAAAAGTGTTCTAAAAAAGAGCCTTTTTCGGTTTCTTCGAACTTTTTCATTCGTCGACGAATGAACCAGTAAAGTTTGCGAATCGTTGGCATTAAAATCAACAATGTAATAAAGGCCCACGATACACCATAGTGAACCAGAGAAAACGCCCCTGCAATTGTAAGTAAAATTAGGCTAACGATTGGTTTAAAAACCATTATTAGCCTTAATTCTTGAAGATCTAACTTTGTCCAGTTTTTTAAATCAACATGCAGAAGCTTTGGTGAATATGTAGCATATAGTATGATTCCAATGTCGATTATCTGAAGAATTCCTAAAACAACGCACGTTGATATAACTGACACTTTTTCATTTGGATAATGTCCTTGCAGTTCTAAAGTAAAAGGAAGAATAGAAGTTGCTAACATTTCAAAAATAACCAGTGCCAAAATGAAGTCATCAACCCGTTTAATAACTATTGCGCGAATGTTCAAGTTTTCCCAAATTGTGAGAATTATTAAAAAACCAAAAAAAAATTCAATAAATTGAAGATAGTTTGAGTAAATAAAATCCAAAAGAGGTTGATTTTCTGTGTGCTTTTTTAAATTTCGTATAGGGAGCACAAGAAAAGTTGCACAGGTCGCCATTACGGTGTCTGAATAACCGAGAAATCTATTAGACGAAGCAATATCTCCTCGATGATGATCTTTTGGCAACGTTTCGTTTAGGTGATCTTCATACTTTTCTTCTAGACGTTTATACATGCTGCGTTTTCTTTTATTTTGTTCTTTATTTTTTTCTTTTATTTCCGACTCCATTTATTTTTTATTAAAGAATATATTGTCTAAAATAAACTTTTTCGACATTTTATAAAAATAGAACTTGTGTTTTATTAAGCTCGCAACTAAACTAATTTTAAACTACTTTTTATAATAACTTACGTAGAATATTAATTAAATTTTTTAATTGTTATTTCGACAAAATTTCCACTTTTTAATTTTGATTGCAAATAAATAACTCTTTTAAAAACGTCTTTTAAAACTAAAGATTTTCATGAATTTTTTCGTAATTCTTCAAAAGTATTTATCCAAAAGTATTTATTAATTTTTCAGTAAAGTTTACAGGTTAAAGTTTACTAAATTACCTTCAAAAAAACTCAATTTTGAATTATTTTACTTTTGGCCGTTTTGAAAAAAAAAAGATATAAAAAACTCATTTTTGAATTTTTTTATCATTAGCCATTTAAAAAAAAATAATAATAAGAATATCATTTTTATAATGCAATAATGATAAACATTTTTTTTTATAAAAAAAAGTGATACTTATGAAAGTTGTCGTGAAATTGATGTTAAATTCTTTAAAGTCTTAATATAGCAAAAAATTATAAACATAATAAATAAAAAACATATTTGATGTTATTAGATTAAATAATGCATAAATTACATATATATACATACAAATACAACATGGATCACTTAGCGTCAAATCAGCCTATAGAACAAATATGTTGAAATAAGATAATTGCCTCAGGATGGAAAAAAGAGCCACTAAACCAAACAAGCGTAGAATTAATAACTGATCAGTACACTTGAAAGTTTTTAAAAGCATACTATATTGGTGTTTACAAAGTAACAAAACATAAACCATTTCTTAATGTAAATCATTTTTTTCAACTTTGTATCATTATAGTATTATAGTATGGTTTAGCGCTTATTTATATTACACAACTTACTAAATGGAGTTGTGAATATCTAAGTATAACTAGTTTGCCATTTCATTTGTAGTTTTTTCATAAATTATACAAAAAAAGTTTCTAATTAGTGAAAACCATTGATTGGTTTTTAATTTTTGTTATGATAGCTCAACATTGCTAATACAATTAATTTGGTTGCCACGATTTTAAATAACAGAAGCTGTTAATCAGTTACAACAGGTCTTTATATCATGAAGCGGTGAATGGAAAGGTAATGCTACTCATTGATAATTTTTCAGCGAGTTGATAGTATATTTTTAAACTCCACTGTTAAATCTATAAAATGGAACCGCACTATGGTTCTATTTAATAGATTTTTTATCATTTTACCATTAAACAAAAAGAGCCGCTGAATAATTTTGCTTACGATTGATGATTAAAAAAAGATTTTAAACCATAGTAAAAAATAAGTACCAAAAAAATGACAAAAAAATGACAAAAAAATATCTTAAAAGTAATTTTTTTAGTGATAGGTTTTTGACTAGAAAGATTAGGCACCAGCAACCTTGATAAAAATTTCTTTAGTAGTGCCGTGTATAAAACACACGCAGCAAATATAGCAAATACTATATAACAGTTTATAACTACGCATATAACAAGTAAACAAGTATATAGCATATACTATATAACTACGCATATAACAATTTTACTCTGGAACAATTAAGTCTTAAATAATTAAATTAAAAGCAAAAAACGTTTGCAAAATTAGAGGTAATACTACAGAAACTTAATAATAAAATACAAATCGTAATATAAAAATAAAAATATGCAATTTAAATTGTTTTTAATTGAAGACTGTTTGAGATTGGATCAGTTTAATAACTTCGTTTTGCTCTTGGCATTTCCCAAATTTTTTTATTTTGGTTACGTTAAACTTTTCTACCGTTGCGTCTAAAATAAATTTTGCAGAATAAGTTGCTAAATACCTAAAACACATAAAGAATGATAACTATAGACTAGGAGACGCAGGGGTTAGTTGGAAGACGAGGTTCGTTAAAACATTGAACTTTTATGCCTACTATGGAGCAGTTTGTTAACGCAAATGGGTTACAAAAGTTTGAAAAACTAAAATACTGCTTTGTTATTGAATCAAACAAATTGTAAAATTTTTTTTGCTTAAGATTTAAAAGAAGTTTTACACATAAAAGTAACTTTTTGTAATTTTTGTATAATTATCTGTTATCTTGTATTATAAAAGATAAGAAAATAATTTGATAACGTCTTAATAGGGTCTTTAGCAGGGCTTTCGCAGGGCTTTCTTTTAATGTGTTTCTTTTTATTAGAGTTTTGTTAACGATATAACAAAAGTCAAGAACTCTAATGATGATTTTTTAATGTTTTTTTATAGATTTTTGTAAATGGGTTTACAATATCTAATCTAATGATGATTTAATGAACTTTTAAATTGATTATAAAAAAGCTATTTAAAATCTTATGTATATAAATCCGTGTTAAATACATACATTATATCAAAAACGCTATATTTATTCTGTTTCTAATTTTCTATATCAGATTTATAAAAAATTCTTAAATTTTTTAGCATGTTTGATGTTGTGTATGACTGAGAAAATTTGCCACCACCCCTGGATATTAATGTTTAACTTTGATTGTAAAATAGTCCCATACCTCTGTTTTCAATCGTTTCGGCATTGTGGTCATACAGTGTAGCAATATATAAAGAGATTTTCGATTCAGAACCATGAGATCCAGGGTTCGACGCCAGCTCTATTTAAATAAGCAACATTGTTAAGGAAGAAGGCGAACTTAAACTAAATTAAATGTTAAATGTCAAAGGTCCAAGTTAAATGCTCTTACGTGGAACTCTGTGATAAGACCGTAAGGACGTCTAGGAGCACCTTAATAACCACAAATTAAAAAAAGTATATATACATACATATATATATATATATGTATATATATATATATATATATAAGTATATATATATATATATATATATATATATATATATATATATATATATATATATATATATATATATATATATATATATATATATATTCATATTTATGCATGTATTTAATAGTAATAGTAATAGTAATTTATGCTATGTTGTACAAAGCCAGTGAGTGTGTTGCTGCTCACACTATGACAGAAGTTATGCTTAATTGCTACTCAGCCAGCAATTAAAAACTCTTTTATAACAAATAGCAGACTTCGCTTTTTTGATAACACAAAAAATGGACATACGGCCACCTGGTTCTTGACTGACAATATGGGAAGCATTTCCCACTATTTATATTGCCAGTACCTTGCGTAGTAGGTTTATGCAATACTATCAAACCTCGCCTTTTTCTTTTCTCAGATAGAGTTGTCAATTTTAAGGCAAAGGGTCAATCTTTTTATATGAGACTGATAATTGATAAAACGATTTTAGTTGCTCTGTGTTGTATTATTTCAATCACATCAAAGTCTTTTTTCATAAAAGATGATTAAACCGGAACCATAAATTCAAAAAACAAATGTTAAATGAAAAGATTTCATTAGTTGACAAACTAATGAAACTCGCAAAAAAATTTTCTCAGCAATCAATTTGCTTTGCCAATTGTTTTAGTGACTTGATCTTTTTGTTTAACATTTTCAAGAAATCTCCAAGATCTCGTTTAGACTCAGAATCTTCAAATTGTATACGATTAATAAATAGTGAATAGCTTTAATTGTGTGGGGCCATAATGCATCACAACGCACTTGTTTATGTTGATTTTAAGAATCCAGTCTTGAGTCCATTCAAACGCCTAATTTAAACCATTCTGGATATTTTTAAAACACAAATCTGAATTTACTATTGATAAAACTTTGGTATTATCAGCATATAACTTTTAAAACATTTTTGATTGTATCTGGAAAACCTATAACAGATAACAACAAAAAAAGGTCTCTTCTCTGCCTCTTATTTATGAGAAAAAATGCAATCTATTCCAATAAATTATCTATCAATGTAATAAACCTTTAGTTTAAGAAACAATCTGTTATGAGCAACTGTGCCAAAGGTCTTTTCAAAATTCAGTAGAGCAACATCAACTGGAGTATGAATTTCAATTTTTAATATTTTAAATTTATTTGTTTCTAATAAATTTGTTGTGTACGATTTACGTTAAATAAATTTGTGTTAATGTTTTGTTAGAAAGTTGTTAGTTTCTTTGTTAGGAAATATTCTTGACAAATTGTTTTTATAAAAAAAAAAATTAATTTTTTAGACTAATATCTTCTAGTACCATGCACCTCACTAAAGTGAGGGAAACCGGTCCATAATTAGTTGCAACTGCCTTGTTATCTTTTTTAAAAAGCGGAGCTGTACTTGCTAAATTGAAATAAGAGTTGACTTGGAGCTAATGATTCCCTGAAGATTAATGTAAATGGAAAACGCTTCCTAAAAATTTTTTACCATGGCGGGATAAAGTTTTTTAAGACTGAAGGCTTAAAAAACTTTACCCTGCCATGGTAACGATGTTGCAAAATCCTCACTTTTTCCAACCTTTATGTGGGACAGTCGAGCAAGAAATCAACACTGGATACAAAAAGAATAGCCCATTTGCAAGACTCTTACTGTGGGCAATAAAATAGTTTTTCCAGCACTCCATTTTAAACTTGGATTCATGAAACAATTTGTTAAAGCGCTGAAAACTGATAGTGATTGTTTTCAGTATATAGTTACATCATTACCGGGTTTGTTAATAGAGAAAAAAAGAGCAGGATTTTTTAATGGGCCACAAATTTGCTATCTTTTAAAGATAAAGAATTCATTAAAACAATGAATATAAAAAAGAAAACGGCTTGGTTGTCATGTGTGGTTGTTGTAAAAACTTTCTTGGAAATAAAAAAAAGAAAAAATTTTAGTTAAAATGTTGAAAGCTTTTTGTGATCTTGGATGCCATATGAGTATAAAACTTCATCATATAAATAGTCATCTTGACAAGTTTCCTGAAAATCTAAAAATTTCCTAAAAATTATGGAGATGTGAGTGAAGAGCAAGGAGAGCAATTCCATCAAAATCTTAAGACAATCGAAGATCGTTATCAAGGACGTTGGGACATACACATGATAGAAGACTACTGTTGGGGCATCAAGTGAGATACCTAAGGAAAAAATTATAAACGAAAAGTCAGGAAG